GGAGTGGGGTCCGCCCTCCGCTTCCTAGGGCCTTGCCTTTACTTAGAGGGGATGCTCCTACTCTCACGGTTCAGTCGGCCCTAACACTTTTTCAGATCCTACCCTCTTGGGGATGACACCTTCAAATCCACATCCCAATGGGCCGCTGGCTGGGTCTCACTGAAGCTATAACCGTGCCCTCTGCTCCCATCGCCTGCGCGGTGGTGGGGACTGGGTTTGGGGACAAGGAGAAATGACGACAGGGACTCTGGCCCCCACTGAGGCTGAAAAGAGGGTTCAGTTGCTAGGATAAAATGCAAAGTAACCAGGATCCTTACTAGGAAGCTCAGGGCCCTTTCCCAACATCCTTGATTCTTGGCATACCCCACCTCACCCTTAGTGCTCCAGCAGTACTGACCAGGGCATAAGTCTTGTGAGGACAGAGACCATCACTGTCCAGGCTACTACTCTGTCTTCAGAGCTGGCTCAGGCCTGGCCTATCACAGACATCTACTCTGTGTTAAATGAATAAAGGTCTTACCACCTGGTGATTCCTCCTTTATGCTGTACTGTTTCTAATCTGTGCCTTTACTCACATCATGCTCTTTTGTCTACAAAGAATATTCTTTCTTTTTCTCTTTGCATAACACCTACCCCTTCTCCTCCAGGAAGTTTTCCTGACCCTCAGGCTGAGCTCTTTGCTGTCTCAACAATGCTGTCTGTGCATATGCTTGCAAGTTCAGCTATCATTGGTGTAGTGTTGTAGGTAGTATATCTCCCCCATTAGATCAGGGGAACCAGACAGATAGAGGCTCTGTCTTCATGGTGCTTCCACATTGGTTGTTGGAGCAGGAAGGATGAGAGAAAGTATACCAAGAGATGAGGCTGGAGAGATGAGTGGGCAACCGGATATCTCAGGCTTGAGGTGGGATGCTTGGAGCAGCACTGTCCCATAAAACTTGCTGAATGATGGAAAGCCTTTGCAATCCATGCTGCGTGATATGGTAGCCACTACCACCTGTGGCAATGGAGCACTTGTCATGTGGCTAGTTCAACTAAGGAATTGAATTTTAAATTTTATTAAAAGTTACTTAACTTACATTTAAATAACAATCTATGACTGATGTGTACCATATTAGTACCAGTTTTTCTCTTCCTCTGAATTCCCACATATATCACCCCCTCCTTTGTCTTCATGACCTTACAGCTGAAAGACTAAATAACTTACTGGCCTCCGGAGTTTTTTTGTTTTTCTTTTTTCTTTTTTTGAGTTAGAGTCTCACTCTGCCGCCCAGGCTGGAGGGCAGTGGCCACTCCCAGCCACCGCAGC